GATTTTCAGTCGTCCAACTCCAGACGTTGCTGAACAGTTACTTGTAAGTTACTTTTGCCTTATTTCAATGGTGCTAATATATCTACACTAGAAACTAGACAACAAATACTTGGTAAGATGCATTCAGAGACTCATATTGAGTAGAAAATACAGACATTTTGCTCCTCCTGCCTGGAGGAGATTAAGACTTGGATGAACCATAACTGTCTTCAGTTGAACTGTTCCTAAACCGAGGCCATACTGATCAGAACGCCTCGCCAGGTTCAATCCTCGACTCTGACGAGTGTTTCATTCTCTGGACAAGACATTCCCATTTCCTCCGTTGTTACAAACCTTGGAGTCCGAATGGACTCTCATCTCACATTTGAAAATCACATTAAGCCTGTTTTTTTTCATCTTCGCAATATTTCCAACATTCGTTCATCTCTCTCCCGTTCTGATGCCGAGACCCTCATCCATAACTTTGTCTCCTCCAGGCTCGACTACTGTACCTCCCTGTTCATCGGAGTCCACAGCAAACACCTTCAGAGGCTTCAATACATTCAGGATCCTAGTGAGAGCTCGTAAATTTGATCACATCACACCGACTCTTTACGAGCTTCACCGGCTTCCTGTCACTTATAGGATTCAGTATAAAATTACACTTATCACTCATCACTGTCTACATGGAACCTCACCGGATTATTTGAAGGGCCTCCTTATTTCACATTCAACTTCCAGATCCTTACGATCCCAAGCCTGTAATCTTCTCCATCTTCCTGACCAAACTAAGGACTACGGGTGATCGGGCATTTGCTGTGGCTGCTCCCCGTCTATGGAACTCCCTCCCGGACTATTTGAGAGCCCCGCAATTATTGTGTGGTTTTAAAACTGGCTTGAAAACTTTTCTTTTCAGACAAGCCTTCTCCACTATTAAATGACTGACTTTTTTTATTGTTGATTTTGTTTTTAGCTGCACCATGTAGCACTTTGAGATTTGTATTAATGAAAAGCGCGTTATAAATTAAATGTATTATTATTATTATTATTATTATTATTATTATTATTGTTATAAGTAAGAGTAGCAATACTT